CAATTCACAGTTTAATTAATTGAAAGTAAATTTGTTGCAAAATGAATTAGAACATTCTGAAATTGCATGCAGTTAAGATAACATAGCTGGTAATGTTATCAGTGTCTGTGTGCATATATACAAAGATATATTGCAATTACCATGATAACAACATTACTGATTGATCATTATTAATACCAGAATTTTAATATCACTCAACCAACTTACGCTCACTGCAGCCAACAGTCACATTGCTGCCTTGGATTGTGACTGAGCTTGTCAGCACATCTTCAATGTCTGCAATAGTCGTGTTTCCCATCATCACTCGAAATCTTGAACTGAGAGCCAGGGTGAAATCCATCCATCCAAGACGAAGGACGCCTTCTGGAATGTCGAAAGTGTCATACTTGTCGATTCCGCCTCTCATTTCTTTCACATTCACGAGCCCCTTTTTAATTTCTATTCTGCGCACAAAGTAGATCTGATCCTCGGCACACGTGAGTGAAACAAGGACTTCGTCTTCGCTGGTCTGAGGAATCCACACTGTTGCTGTAATCTCAGTTCCTCTGAGCATCGCGACCTTCGCTGGCTCTGATATACAACCTGGAGAAATAAAATGTATATCAGGTGAGATATCAGGAAATATACACTGTTGCAGCCATCTACCTTCCTCCACATAATCTCAACTTGGAAGATCTACTTGGGCAGTTACCTCATCCATTTCTACTCTTGGGAAATTTTAGTGGTCGGTATCACCTCTAGGGAGGCACTTTGTGCAACCCTCGAGGAAGGGCCTTGGAGTCCTTGTTCTCAAGAGTAGATGCAGTTTTACTGAACAGTGACAAACCCACATACTTCCAAATTCAAATTGGGACATTCTCCAATACTGATCTATCAGCTGGTTCACCTGGTGCACTGTTATATTTCACTTGGGAGACCATGGAAGACTTACATTGAAGTGACCACTTTCCGATACTTTTGGAGGAGGTGAAGGGCATTCCAGCCAGTGGGTGAAGAGATGGCAAATTGAACATGCTGATTGGAATATTTTTAGATCAAATGCAATAGTGCAGGATCTATAAATAATCTTTAGTGTGTTCAAGATGCTATTGATCACGAATTTACCTTACAGAAGCACTCATTCCCAAAAGTAGTGGGCAGTATCATCAACCTCCAGTACCTTGGGGGTATGATGAATGCCAACAAGCTGTCAGAGCAAGAAAAACTGCACTAAAGCAGCTGAAACGACGCTCCAGCAATGTGATCTTGATCCATTACCCAAACCAAGCCCAGGCTAGACAGTTGTCGTGGAAATTGTATGTCCCTTTGATTAACTCCACATCCATGTCATCATCTGCAGTGAAGATAGATGGTATAATCCTAATAAACAAAAAATAAAGATGTTGCAAATGAGCTAGCAAAATCCATGGCAGAGATCTCCTCTGGAACATCTTACTCTGCCCAATTCTCCATCCTTCGGGCCAAACAGGAATGACGCCAAATGTTGTTCTTTAGTAGGACTGCAGAACTTCCATACTACTTGACATTTTTGCACAGAGAGATGGACCGCACAACGCTTTTGCGGCTTTACCAAGCACTTACTCATATCAAACTTGACTATGGATGTGAGGCTTATTATTCTGCAACTCCCACTGTTCTCTGGATATTGGACTCAATTCGTAAAGAAGCTCTTAGAATCTGTACAGGGGGTCTCAGGTCTTCACATCTGGAGTCCTTGTATGCTGAGAGTGGAGAACCACCTCTTTCATTACACAAGGACTAAATGAACCTGATTTACTACACGAGACTACAAAGGATTCCGGGATCTACATCCAGATTGGTTTTAAGGAAGAGCCGATCCTCTGGTAGGAGAATAAGGAATCTTGTGGAATATCTCAATCTCAAGCTGTTGAAACTCCCCAGTTTCCCCCTTGGGCCAATCTAGTCGAGCTCTAGTTAGTCGGAATATGGAAGGGGAGAGATTTCTTGCACACTTCGAAGGACCAAATACAATATATACAGACTACAATTGGCAGTCAAAAAGACTTTTGATCTTAAGAATCATTCTATTATAATATATTGCGACTCTCGTAGTGCTTTGCAAGCAAGAGCTTCAGTAGTTTTCTTTGGGATAATTATAGGGAGCAATGGAGGCATACCTCTAGAATCATATATATATATATATATATATATATATATATATATATATATATATATATATACATATATATGTATATATATATATATATATATATATATATATATATATATATATATATATATATGTATACATATATGTATACATATATGTGTATATATATATATATATATATATATACATATACATATATATACATATATATGTATATATATATATATATATATATATATATATATATATATATATATACACATATATGTATACATATATGTATACATATATATATACATATATATATATATATATATATATATATATATATGTATATATATGTGTGTGCGTTTGTAAGCACACACACACACACACACACACACACACACACATACACACACACACACACACACACACACATATATGTATAATAATGTTTCACAGGTCACCAGTAAAACAACTGGTTTGTCGTAACTATTTATTTTAACCTGAAATAATGTTTGAAATAAATATATGCACATGAAATATTTTATAAACTTTATAAACTTTACAAACCAAAATATACATACATCCATAACAAATAACTTAAAACAAAATTTAAGGCCAATTCTATTTACAGTTTCCAGACATTAAATTTTATTCCTCAATTAAATTATATATCAAACAGATCACATAGTAAGCAATATCAATCATAGGATGACAAAAAAGAGATAACATATGCAAAAAAAAAAAAAAAAAATATCCACCATGCTCAACAGAACATCGACATGCGTTGTAAAAATAATACAAGCAGAAAATAACAAAATATTAGTTTGTACAAACTTATGGTACATTCCTCGGCCCAATCACTGCCATTACCATCTCTTCCCCTTTTTACTTTTACACCTTGCCCCATTTAGCATCTTGTATTAACACAATATTACCAGATTGTAAATTTCTTTAATCAGTATGCCATTTTTACCTAACAATTATCATGGCTAAGGCTCTCTTTACAGATTTAATAAGAGACTCACTAACACAATTTTGCCATGCTGCGTCATCGGTTGAAAATTCATTTCAATCCGTCTAAAAAGTTTTCAAGAAACTATGGGTATCATATCCATCAACATCATCAATATATACAGCACGGGTAACCATGAAATCAAATATAACACCAGAAGCTGTGCCAGCAGTCCTTTTCTTCACATTGTCTCTTATTTGAAATGGCCCAAAGATATCTGTACCAGCGTAATAGAAAGCTGGACAAGGAGTTATCCTTTCAGCAGCAACCTGACACATGCATTGATCTTCAACTTTGTAATCCAGTCTCAATTACGTTACCCTGATCGGATGACTTTACGTGCTGAAGGAACCCAAAACTTGGTCTGCATCTTACAAAGTCTACCATCCACTCCAGCGTGTTCTATATTATCCATATGATTAATATAAAGTATAGTGAACAGATGCTTCCTTGGTAACAAGATAAAGTTATCTTTTTTTAACAATGCTCCAGTCTTTGATCTACATAATTGTACCATTTCCTGTCTTATATGGCTCCAATCTTTGATATTTCATTTTCGAATTATCAGAAAAAACAATTTTGTGCTTGCCAGAAATGTTCCTCTTCCTTTAAAATATCAAGTTCAAGCCCTAATAAGATACCTTCTAAATATCCTACCAATAACTACAATAAGTTTATTGTAACTTTTGAATTTGAGTAAATCAATCACACATTCCTTTGAGTCCTTCACACAGTGTACCAAGTTCACACAGACTCCATCAGGCAAGTCTCATTCTGTATATTGACTTATTGGCCATTCTTTGGGAAAATTCATGAATTTTGGACCATACTTCCAAAATGAACTGCTACCCTTGTTGCTACAAAAGTCCCAAATCCATATGACTCCTTTTGGATCTGTGCTCTCACAATAGCTGAATCTGTTATTATGCATTAAAGAACTAAATCCATATGGCAACTCTATTTCAATTAATTTGCGTATTCTGCATGAAAAAACACAATTCAAGTCTAGGTATGGAAAATGCCTGGTAGGAAGTATCCTTCCTCTTGCCATTATTAGTCTACTTCCAAATATTCCAGATTCAATTTCCATCTATCATAACCCAAAGCACCAATGCATTTAATGAACCATCAATAAAAATCAAAAAGCATAGGCAGATCTATTGCAAAAGGTGTGTTGATACATCTTTCAAATAATAGTGAATAAATACCAAATAATTCATGAAAGTGTAATACCCATTGATCTTTCTTCTGGGCTGGCAAAGGGTCATCCCATGCTAATTTGGTCCCACAACTTACAGTTTCATGTAATAACATTTTGTCTTTCAGTGGTAATGGAAGAAGTAAACCTAGCGGGTCATACACAGAACATATCTTACATCAATCCTCTTGGTTAAAACTGGAGGAATGTTTAAATCTGAACCTGTTCGTATACCCCTATATTTAGGAGAAAAGTATAATCTTGCTTTGAATGTAAATTCATCCTTCCTACGGTCCCAATATAAACCGAGAATTTGATCACCTTCATTCTCTGAAATATTCATGTTACACATTCCACCATCACCAGTCATAATCCACTGTTTAACCTTGAAATTGCCGCATGAGTATTTTCTCAGTTTTCTGAATCAATTGCAAAGCTTTCTCTTTACTGTCAACTGGGTGTATAGTATCAACATGAGAATCTGATATTATCATGGAAGCAGCATCACTATACTTTTCCACTTATAACTGTGATGTGTGTTTAAGAGCCAACATAGCAATTATTCCAGAAGGCCCATTTAGGTTATCACATAATGATCAGGCTCACAATTCAATTGGAAATCTCTTCAAACAAATTTGTTGCTACATTTCAGGGAGCTTAATACTGTTGTACACTTATATCACTTGCTATACCTATAGCTCCTTCACAGAATCTCAGTAATATGGTCACCATGGAATTCAAAAGCTACCCCCATGTATTTAGCGGAGGAATTAAATACAATCCTAAGTGGTGTGGATGTAGTACCTGGCTTTAGCACTTTAGCACCAATATAACCTTTTTCTTCATCCGGAGTTAATTTACGGGCAAAATCGCGTTTTATCATATCCTTTATTTGGTTGTTAAAAGCTTTAGCATATTCTGCTCCAAGTTTCAGCAGTAGTTTTCTCAGTATTTCTCAATTTGGCAACAGCAACAGAGACATTATTATGCAGTAAATTAGGATCCTTTACACAACATGGGAATTTAGCTAACCATTGTTTTTTTTTCTGAATCATATTGTAATCCCCTTTCAATTAAGGCCAATTCTCTCTCTCCTCTAATACTATAGTTGTTGTTACCTACTGCTTAAATATCCCTAGTACCTGATACATACGCTATACTAGGGTGGCTACTACGACGGCACATCCCAAATCGATATTCTATAAGCTGTAAATTTTTATCTACAGTTTAACTGATGGGATTAGAGAGCAATAATCAGTGTCTATCAGCAAATCTATTTTACTGTGA